AGGACACATCAATTTTGTTTTTAACTGTTATTTTTATTTAACTCCGAGCATTTTCATGTTTATCTACCTTTTAAACCTTCTCTGTACTTCCACAAATAATTCAAGACCAAAATTAGCCAAATCGGTCCAGCCGTTCTCGAGTTTTAGCGAGACTAACGAACAGCAATTCATTTTTATATATACAGATGGATTCGCGAAAGCCGAATAAAATACCAAAACAAAAGACCATGTTCAAGTGATAGTGCATCAAATGCAGAAGAAATTCAATAAATAAATTAATAACTTACCTTACTATATAAATATATTCCGTAATAAACTTATATTACCAAAAATAATCTCTAAGCAATAAATTTACAGAACAAATATCGATGGAATCTTCTTACGTCTCTAGATCAGATTCACGATTCGCCGCGGGGTAACGAAGCTAATCTGTACTCAAGTGTCGACAATTTGAACCGTAACAACAGAAAATAAGCAAGACTTAAACGCCCTATGCCGAACTTAATATTTAACTAAAATAAAAATATCAATACGAATTTTTTGTACCAACGCTACGTTATTATTATTATATATTTTTTTATTGCTTAGATTGATAGACGAGCTCACAGCCCACCCGTCAAGCGGAAACGCATTACTGCTTCACGGCAGAAATAGGCAGGGTGGTGGTACCTGCCCGCGCGGACTCACAAGAGGTCCTATCACCAGTACAAAAGCAGCAGCATTACGCTAAAAAATGTTGTCTGAACGTGGAACTTAAGGAACTGAATCGGTTTTTGGGAACATTAAAGCTTGGTCATTGTAGAAAACAATAATCTTTTTACGTGTCTTCTTTCCTGCGACTTCCTAATCAATAATAGTAATATCTTTAAAATGTTCAGAGCCGATGCAATAATGAAATAAATTACAATTGCGATACTAATATAGACGTATTAAACCAACAACATGAATGCCACCACACACCTTGAAACATGAGGTCTGAATCTCAATTGTGTAGTATAAAGACTGCCCTCTCCATTCAAACTGAAACTGCGAGGCAGTAGAAATAAACAGGCTGGTATTACTAACCCGTAGTAGGTCACAAGATGCTCAACCATCTGATTCTATCACTACTTTCGATCTAACAATATAGCAATTGTGTCAACGCAGCTTTATATAGAACAAAACTGAATACAAAACATGAAAATCTAAACTGTGTTCCATAACTTTTTTTTTTGTTGCTTAGATGGGTGGACAAGCTCACAGCCCACCTATGGGTGGACAAGCTCACAGCCCACCTGGTGTTAAGTGGTTACTGGAACCTATAGACATCTACGACGTAAATGCGCCACCCACCTTGAAATATAAGTTCTAACGTCTCAGTATAGTTACAACAGCTGCCCCACCCTTCAAACCGAAACGCATTACTGCTTCACGACAGAAATAGGCAGGCAATTAATCTTCTATACCACAGAAATCTGATAACTTATATTCACGACACAAACGTTTTGATGTAAAAAAAAGTATTAAAATACTTGTTTTTATCACAAGCAAACTCGTGATCACCGACAAGTATACAACACAAATAGACCTCGAAGCAATTCGAAGTAATGATCCCGCTGTTTACCGGAACGGAGAGCCCTGCAGGAATCCGTAATTTGAAGAAAGGGTATTGAATAGAAAATAATTGACGGTCGTATTTTAAATAAATTGATGTTCGCACGAAATTCATTCCGATAATGTTTATTTATAACGTCTAGACACAAAACGATAATGGATTTTAGATTCGTTTAATTTGTAAACTGTCAGCTATTGTTTAGTTTTAGATTTATCAGTTACTTTAGACAGGACAACGAGGATTTCTTTAGAAAATTACTTAAAACTAGAGGTCCCGCAGTAGTCGAAATTCGACTATAATTAATTGGAATTGTAAGTTTGTACACTATTATGATTGTATTTTATACTTCTTACTCTATCACATTACATTATATTTTATACTCTATCACAAATTTCGCCAAGACTACACTATAAAAAATATTAACAAAGACAAACAGTATTTAATCTATTCTCAATTTGACAACAGACGTCAAGAACAAAAGTATTTTTTTAAAATAATGCATAAAATATACATTAAATCAATAAAGAAAATATTACACACACAAATACCATGTAACTTTTGTTCTTGACGTCAGAACAAAAGTTTGACTATAAATGGTATGCATGTGTGTTTGCGTCAAATACGTGGTATTAGTGTGTGTAATATTTTCTTTATTGATTTAACGTATCTTTTATGCATTATTTAAAAAAAATATTAGCATTGTGCACTTCTTCTCTACATTCTCTATAAGTGTGGAAAATTTCATACTCCTCCGTCCGCGCAATTTTCATAAAAAGGGATACAAAGTTTTTGCTTCACGTATTAATATTACTTAAAATATTGTGCACGCTATATTTTGTCGAATGACATCCCTGAATCCGATAAATACAAATAGTTGTGATTTCCTAACTAATGAGTGGGACAATGTAAAAGTAACTTCTTCATCACCGACTCATTTAACACCTTTTTTTTTTTTTTTTTTTATTGCTTAGATGGGTGGACGAGCTCACAGCCCACCTGGTGTTAAGTGGTTACTGGAGCCCATAGACATCCACAACGTAAATGCGCCACCCACCTTGAGATATAAGTTCTAAGGTCTCAGTATAGTTACAACGGCTACTCCACCCTTCGAACCGAAACGCATTACTGCTTCACGGCGGAAATAGGCGGGGTGGTGGTACCTACCCGTGCGGACTCCCAAGAGGTCATACCATCAGTGATTACGCAAATTATAATTCTGCGGGTTTGATTTTTATTACACGATGTTATTCCTTCACCGTGGAAGTCAATCGTGAACATTTGTTGAGCACGTATTTCATTAGAAAAATTGGTACCCGCCTGCGGGATTCGAACACCGGTGCATCGCTACACACGAATGCACCGGATGCCTTATCCTTTAGGCCACGACGACTTTTTAACCTTTTAGGCTATATGATAAAATGACTGCTATAAAACTCAAGATATAAATGGTTTTTTTTATTGCTTAGATGAGTGGACGAGCTCACAGCCCACCTGGTGTTAAGTGGTTACTAGAGCCTATAGACATTTACAACATAAATGCGCCACCCACCTTGAGACATAAGTATTAAAGTCTCAGGTATAGTTACAACGGCTGCCCCACCCTTCAAACCGAAACGCATTACTGCTTCACGGCAGAAATAAGCAGGGTGGTGGTACCTACCCGCGCGGACTCTCAAGAGGTCCTGCCATCAGTATCCTAATAATCTCATGTCGACGAGCACACCAGACGTCTTATCCAAATGGCGGATACTTCAGAATCTGACAGAACATTCAATTTCTAAAATCTGCATAGAAGTAGCTTGCGATAGCCAACGAAATCCACCTTTAATGACTTAACGTACATAATATTTCGATACAATATAAAGGCCTTTCCCCACAATGCCTTTTACGTAATTTATGTGTTTAATTTCACGATATAAGGCAGCGAGTTGAACCTACAGTGCCATATGAAAAACTCGTTTCCGTTTTCAGCATTTAATTTATGAATGAAAACACTTTCTCAGCGTAACTGATATTGAATGTGTAATTTTTTGTTGTGATGCTTGGTTAGCATTACCACCTTAAGACATGAGATCAAATTTGTAGGCAGCGGCTTGGCTCTGCCCCTGGCATTGCTGAAGTCCATGGGCGACGGTAACCACTCACCATCAGGTGGGCCGTATGCCCGTCTGCCTACAAAGGCAATAAAAAAAAAAAAAAAAAAAAAAAAATTCAAAAAGTTTAGAAGTGTAGGGCATATATACGACAAAGGGAAGATCTTCCACCGAGCGGGTGATATTGCTCGGTAGACCGACGGTCCGAATGTTGTTGTTCGGAACTTGTATGTATGCGTAAAATGTCGTAAACGAGATTCAGGCATCTGTCAATTATCTTGCGTTGTATGATGGCTACCCGCCACAGAAGCATAGAAAGCTTAGAAGTCGTCGTGGCATAAAGGATAAGACGTCCAGAACATTCGTATATTATAGCGATGCGCCGGTGTTCGAATCCCGCAGGCGGGTAACAATTTTTCTAATGAAATACGTCCTTAACAAATGTTCACAATTGACTTACACGCTGAAGGAATAACGTCGTGTAATAAAAATCAAAGAATCACTAATGGTAGGACCTCTTGGGAGTTCGCACGGGTAGGTACCACCACCCTGCTTATTTCTGCCGTGAAGCAGTAATGCGTTTCGGTTTGAAGGGTGGGGCAGCCGTTGTAACTATACCTGGGACTTTAATACTTATGTCTCAAGGTGGGTGGCGCATTTATGCTGTAAATGTCTATAGGCTCTAGTAACCACTTAACACCAGGTGGGCTGTGAGCTCGTCCACTCATCTAAGCAATAAAAAAAAAATAAAAAAAAACCCGCAAAATTATAATGTCCGTAATTACTCTCCTCTTATGAGTCCGCACGGGTGGGTATTTACGATGTGCCATACATATATCGGCGAGATTAAAAATGGTTTCCTAGAAAAATATGCATGTGTGAAATTTTAAGTTTAATTATATTTTATAGTTATTGCCGAGTTCATACGGATATACAATACCTTGAGTAAAATGTCATTCAAATATCTAAAATTAGAAATATCAATTTTATAATGCAGTAATAAGTAGGTATATTATCAAAAATTTGTTAAACTGCCATATAAATGTTCGAGAACATTTAGCCGGGAAGTCACATTCATCAACATGTCAACAAAACAAATAAACAGTAAATTTCAAACCTAATCTAATAAATAAATAAAACCATGAACACGCATTCTTTCACTATTATTCTGGTAAAGTTTGTAAACTTAGCATCCCTTTATAAACACAAACAATAGATTTCCATTCATACGTTTTATAGTAGATCAGTAGTACTCCTGGCATCACGAATACAGCGTTGATGAAAATTAAAAAAAAAAGTATTTTCAATATACTATGTACAAATATCAAGTGAAAGAAATGACATTCGTGAACACCTTCAGAAAAATCGTTTGGAAATTTATTTTATTTTCAACGTTAGTGATATGCCTGCTGATAATATCTCTACTACCACAGTTTCTTAAAGCGAAAAGTTTTTCAAGCATCACAAACACAAGGTACCCAACAGACTTGAAATATATATTTATTTGGAAGCCAACGCAAAAACCGAATCGGTATGGCGGTATGAAAGTATTGAAATACGAAGCAGGACAAAAAATATTCATCAAACAGAAGTGCGAGTACATTAATTGCTACATAACTTACAACAAGAGCCTTCTAAGAGGCACTGAACACTTTGATGCTGTTGTTTTTGAAGGAGAAGACTTGTTAAATGTACACAGAAAAAACATTAACCTCACGCGTGTACCATCACAGAAATACATTTTTAGAACTTTGGAATCTGCCGGGAAGGCACCAATCTGCAACGATGATTTTGACGACTTCTTTAATTTAACTTGGACTCACAGATTAGATTCAGATATCGTAAATCCCTACTTTGATATATACAGCGCAAACAATACTAAAGTCGGTCCGACTAAAGAAATTCAATGGATAAAAAAAATGAAACACGACAATAAACTTACGAAAAGATTTAAAACTAAAGATAGAGCTGTAGCGTGGATTTTAACAAATTGTAAAAACAAAAATAGACATCAAGACTTCGTTAAAGAGCTCAGAAATGAACTTAAAGGTTATAATTACAGTTTAGACACATATGGTCCTTGCAGTAACAATAAATGTCCCCAAGGCAAAACATTAAAATGCTACAAAATGATAGAAAAGCGTTATTTCTTCTTACTAATTTTGGAAGAGATGTTCGAAGAAGATTACGTTACTGATGAAGTTGTTAAATCAATGAATCATTTTACTATACCAGTAGTACTAGGAGGCGCTGATTATAATAGGTAAGAAAATTACGTTTGTTAAAATAAATGTTAAACATAAAAACCAATAATGGTTGGTATATTAACAAATAATAGCAATATAAAATCACAGAAAAGATTGATTGACACAGTTTTTTTTTTGTTATTGCGGAAACAGCTCGGACGTACAATATGTGCCCAATTTAAGTTACATAAACATAAAACTCTTTTTACCTTGCTAATAATTTAGTACCATGGCATCGTGTCTTTTACATCGAGAGCCGACTTCAAATTAAACCGAAGCATAATATACAATGATACTATTACGACCTCAACTTAAACTGCGTTCGTTAAAAAAGCCACAACAATTTTGACATAAGTTTTTTTTTTTTTTTCAGATTTTTACCACCCGGCTCTTACATCAATGCCTTGACTTTCGACATGAAGAAACTAGGAGCGATAATAGACTATCTTATCAAAAATCGGAACATGTACGAGTATTTCTTCGATTGGAAAAATCATTATCACTACACACGTAGATCTAGGACTAATGTCTGTGATTTGTGTGCCAAACTGAACAGTAACTCAAGTAATAATTCTTATAAAAACTTCAGAAAATGGTGGAATCCTGACTATAGGGATTCATGTCAACGGATGAGTTTGTTAAGTTTATTTGAAAAATATGTATGAATTTTTTTTAAATAACAATATACAGTCTGCCTCAAATAGCAAAGTCCGTCTGAATGTCGGGTAGTTTGATTCCACACGGAACATTAAATCAAATATCATGTTTTAGAATGTTGACAAAAAAACCAAAACAGAGAATAATTGGTGAGAAAATGGTAATTGTCATTAATAAGTTGGAACTGTTGTAGATGGTTCTGTTACAGACTGGTTACAGGAGCCCACAGATAGCTTGAAAGACGAAGAGAAAGCCTCAAATTTTTAACGCCTCTCCGACCCAGAATGTATTTCCAATTATTAGTGAACTGTTGAACCTATTAAACAAAAAAAATGGACTAAAAGCAAATGTCAATACAATTTGAAAAATATCGACAATATACAATATACAATTTGATAAAAATCGACAAGCTTAATTTTTTTTATTTAGTTATCTCTTCGTTACGACGTTTATTCAATTTACTTTATTTCAAAACATTTCTTCCCAATTCGTACCCCACTTCTCTGTCTATGGAAGAAACCTTTCCTTCCCAACTGCAATTTAAAAGCCAATATAATTGATAATTAAAACTTATGTCTGCTTTCTTATATAACCGCTACAATATTTAGTTGACATTAAATGGGCATTACGGGCCTATCGGTTATTCTTTGCTCCAAGAACAATTCTCATTCTCGAACGTTCACGTTAAAAGAAACATGACACTAAGGCTAACACAAACATCTAAATGTGTTAAGCTCTTTTATAAATTCTATGCTCTGTGAGCACTATAGTTTTTTGAAATATTAAATATAATATAATACTCTCTACGCATTTTTGTCATAACTGTACTTTTTTTCACAATTATAATAAGATCCACATAGCGTCGGATGTACCATCTGTGATCGACATTTCTCCGATTTATTATTGAATACTTTTTAGACTTATCCTGTGACAAGGATCCGCAATCCATCATTGTTATATCACGAAAAGGCTTTTGTGATGATTTTATTTTCGGAGATTTGTTATGATTTTTAGTCCGTTTGCAGCTTAGTTTCGATTCGATCTAGTGTCATCTCTATGTTATCTATAACTCATAGTGTTCTTTTAACAGCTTTTATAACAATCTTAATTTTTCGTTATATTTCGAAAAGTAAAATATACTTTAATTTATAAATGTAAATAATTAACTAAATAATAAGCAAAAAGTTTGCACCCGTGATCTGCTGCGGTCCTCGTACGGGAATAAATTATTACTTCGGTTTGGAAATATTGCAAGATATTTGCATCGACAAACTTGCGCATACTCGAAATTTCTCATTAGTCTTGCTTTGTATTATGATAGTCATAAAAATATGTGTGTAACGAGCATTTTCCGGTCACCGTCCTCGTCGAACCCGTCGCTTGCGACGAAGGGCTCGACGAGCGAATCAACCCATAGACACAGCCCACTGAGTTTCTCGCCGGATCTTCTCAGTGGGTCGCGTTTCCGATCCGGCGATAGATTCTGCGAAGCACTGCTCTAGCTAGGGTCAGTGTTAGCATCACTCCGGTTTGAGCCCCGTGAGCTCACCTACTAGTTAAGGTTATGCTGAAATAGCCTCTCAAGGTTATCAGCTTAGGTAGGATAAAAAAATCATTTTGAAAGAAACGCTCTGTTGTTTGCACACAGATGTGCACTGTGCAAGCCCGAGGATTGCAAGTCTGGACTTTATTGATAGTTATAAAAGCTAGATCATTCCCACGGGCTCTGTTGACACTCAGTCCCATGATTTACAAGAGAAATAAACTATCCCTTCGTAACAAGGTTCGTAACAACTTGGTTACGTTCTGTCATGACCTACGCAAGGTCACACGGCCGTACACACATTAACTATCTCCAGGTCATTCAACCCCGTTTCTGAAGGATAGCCGACAGAACACCTTGTTAAGTCAGTAATATCGATCATAACGACGACTTAAATTTACTACCACCTGGTCCACCTGGTGCCTGATGGCTATCAAAGCCCATACACTTTAACAACATAAATGACCTCGAGACATGAGTTATAATAAGTTTATAATAAAATCGCTACCCCACCATTAAAGCCTTCAACGTGAATACTAGCTCCTTGAATCCTCCAATGTTATTACAAACGCTCTTTCGCAATGAATTGAGCAGTGCCCATACAAGCGGGTCAAAATACGCTCACCCATCAATAAGTATGGAACTATTTTCAAGATTAATGTCCTAGTACGTTATTAATGTGAGGGAGTTCATATAGAGTCCCTTCTTTATTTCGCCGTAAAGTCGTGTTTTATGTAATTAACACCACAGTTGGAACAATAGAATCTTTTATTGTTGTAGCGGCACAAACAAATATTAAACAGATAATAAATTATTTTTCGTTTTAAAATTTCGGCGGTAAAAAGGTCCCGTGTCACAGACTATATTCTTTTTCCCGCCTTTCGTGCGTTCCGGCTTACGCATCATAAAAATGTGCGTTCATAAACGCCACAAATGTAAATTGAACATCTGCACATCAGCCTATTATACCAGTGCTATTATACTGGTGGTAGGACCTCTTGAGAGTCCACGCGGGTAGGTACCACCACCCTACCTATTTCTGCCGTGAAGCAGTAATGCGTTTCGGTTTGAAGGGTGGGGCAGCCGTTGTAACTATACTTGAGACCTTCGAACTTATATCTCAAGGTGGGTGGCGCATTTACGTTGTAGATGTCTATGGGCTCCAGTAACCACTTAACACCAGGTGGGCTGTGAGCACGTCCACCCATGTAAGCAATAAATATAAAATAAAAAAAGTTATAGTCTTTAGGCAAAAGCATAATCAAATACTGTAAGCAAATGATTAATTACGCGTTTCCAGGATAAAATAATAAAATTAACTACATAGATACGTTTTCGAACAAATTTTAGTTTTCTGAGAAGCTATCGTTTCGGTATTTTTATCTTCCGACAATATAAACATATTATGTTACTATACCAGTAATATTTATCCAAAGATCTGCTTGTGATCGATCCCCGGGGACGCTATCCATCAATTTGTGTTGTCAGGAGTTTCATGGTTGCAAGGACAGATCGTTGTTTCGCTTCAGATTTGTTTATCTTTGATTTTACTCGGTATATATGGAGACATATATATTGGCGGTACGGTGTTTTGTTAGCCCGCTCCTATTGGTACAATCACCCTGCCTATTTATGCAGTGATGCAGTAACGCGTTTCGGTTTGAAGAATGGGGCAGTCGCTGTACTATAAATATCTAAATCCTTAGAACTCATGTCTCCAGGAGAGTGGCGACATTAACGTTGTTTACATCTATGGGCTCCGGTAACCACTTAGCACCAGGTGGGCCGTGAACTTGTCCACCCATCTTAGCAATAAATATATACATACATATACATATATACCATTTCAAGGACTGTAATTCTCGATTGTTTTAAAATAACACGACGCCACCATCGTGCTTGATAATAATAATATAATGAAATTAATTAAACTAAGGTATAACTAACCTTAGTAAAAATGATATCGTATTCAGCAACAAACACAGAAAGCAGTTTCTGTTAAGACTACGACAGAGCGTACTGAATTTTTTAAGAATCACAATGAGCTATGACGCAAATTTATGTAGACTAGAGGCCCCGCAGTAGTCGAAATTCGACTATAACTAATTGAAATTGTAAGTTTGTACACTATTATGATTGTATTTTATACTTCTATAATCACAAATTTCGCCAAGGCTACGAAAAAATATTAACAAAGACCTACGAAACAAAGACAAACAATAATTTAATCTATTCTCAATTTGACAACAGACGTCAAGAACAAAAGTTTGACAATAAATAGTATGCATGCGTGCGTGCCTCAAAAACACGGTATGTGGTGTGTGTAATGTTTTCTTTATTGATTTAATGTATATTTTATGCATTATTCTAAAAAAATATTAGCATTGTGCACTTCTTCTCTATATTCTCTATAAGCGTGAAAAATTTCATTTTCCTCCGTCCGCGCAATTTTCATAAAAAGGGATACAAAGTTTTTGCTTCACGTATTAATATATAGATTAGTTGATAAACAGCTGCAAAGAAGCAGACGCTTGAATTCATCCAATAAAATTTCTTTTGTATAAAGTTAGTTAAAAACGACCAGCGCAGGTGTTCATTCGTATGCAAATAACGCATGGCTAATAAGACCGCTAACTACGCTGGAGCCCGGAGCGTTTCCCTGAAACTCATTGTTTCCCTTGAAACGAAGTACGTACGTACAATATTTATCTATTCAAAGCATTGGATAACTATGCGAGTTTTATGTGTTTGAATTATTTTGCTGGTATACATAGATTGGTAGATAACCGCACGGTATCAAAGCCTTCCGTAACTATATTAAGATAACAATACAGCATTTCTTGGTTAAATCCATGCGACACTATAGCTCCCTTATCGTTCTCTTACACCTCATTACGGATCCTCCCGATCCATTAACGGCACTCTTAGGTAGCACAAGCACCGGTCACCGTCCTTGTCGAACCCGTCGCTTGCGACGAAGGACTCGATGAGTGAATTAACCCACAGACACAGCCCACTGAGTTTCTCGCCGGTGGTAGATTCTGCGAAACACTGCTCTTGCTAGGGCCAGTATTAGGAACACTCCGGTTTGAGCCCCGTGAGCTCACCTATACATTAGGGTGTAGCTGAAATAGCCTCTAGGGAAAAAAAATCGTTCTCGCCGCTGACAAAAATCCCCAATCAGACAGGACTCAATATTAATAAGTAATTTCGCAATGTTAGTATGCTGGTTGATCGCGTTATTGAGGACAGTATAATAATCCTTTGCTGACGTTAGGTTTGAATTGTTACTATAAGCCGTCGTATACATCATGGGAGATCCTTATCCAGGAGGAGGTGGAATCAAGAAAATGAAGGCATATCACTATATTTACCATCGAAGAAACTAGGCAACGAGTGCAGATCCATCTACTGTATTTATAAGGTATCCTAGGGTCACTGGAGAAGTGACGTGAAGTTTATATG